CACCTTTAAAATAATATATAAAATCTTTTGTAACTTATACATGTGTTAACAAGAGCTTTTAAATAGTAAATCAACTACGGTATTACTTTTATACGTAATAACTTAACTCCTAGCTATTAAATGTGATATTATATATAGAAAATTTAATAATTACATTACTTACATCCAAATTGACTACCAAACTACTATTAATATTTATAGGATTGTTATTTTTGTCCTAAAAATAGCTAATTCGATACAATATAAAATTTTGCAATTCTCATATTAAAATGGATGAAATGTGTGACGCTAATATTTATATAACTTCTTATTAACAAGCGATTGGACATGAACTTTAAAATCATGATTTGAAATTATTAATTTAGGTGCAAACTGATTTGAAGTTAAATTTAATTTGAATATGCAATTTAAATTTTGAAATTTGTGTATTTTTCTCAGAAACATGAAAACCTCACAATTTGTTTAAATTATTAAATCCTCCTCAACTCTTTAACAATTTTATCATATGATCAAACAATAGTTCATAAACAAGGCCTAGCAAATATATAATAAAACTTTCAAATACACATATTTTTATAAAAAAATATAACGATCTAAAAAATCTATAATAATACTAACTATTCTTTTAATATAGTTTTCCGATACGAACAATTTAAAACAACCTATTTATGTTTTTACCCCCCTTTCCTTTCTTAACGTTGGTCTTGAAATATTTCTTATAAAATATAAACTTATAGGCTAAAACTCTAAATTATGAAAAATAATATTACAAACTTATAATTGACACCAACAACGAAAATTCAAATTCTATCCTCAACGTGGATTGGAAATTTGAGATCAGTATTTCAAATGGCCCTACGAATTGATCAGCACATTTATTCATCTATAAAATATGCGAAAAAGATCCTCAAATCTTTTATATGGCCCAAAATAAATTCAATTTCGACATAATTAAAATGACAAGTGAATTGCATACGACACTTCATCTTTAATAATTAAGTAAATTATTTAAATGTCATTTCTGTTGTGATCATTATTTTCAAAAACGTTTTTAGGTGAGTTTTGGACATATTAAAATTACTTCGGGCACAAATTAATGGGTAGATTTATAAGGGCGTAAATTCTAAAACTTAAGGAGTAAAATTCGAGCATAAAAATGTTAATTATGTGCATATAAACGTGTGGCTCGGGCAATAATTTTTTTAATTTTTTCTATTTAAATCATATATTTTTTTTATCATTAGTGTTATACTATTTCAATAAATATATAGAAGTATTTCTTTTCATTATCAATTATTAATACCTAAAAAAAAACACAACATTTTTCTATATATTATAGGTTGTTTATTTTTAAAAAATTATAAAATCATTGAAAATTTTAATTTTGTTTATTTATTACTGATAAAATTATTATAAAATTTAATATGCATGAGATCATAACTCATCATTAAATTTGTATGACTTACGTCCCATGTATTTTGAAACTTGTATCTTGCTTTATACCGTATAAAAAGCCTCACCTCACCTCACGTTCCGCCTTTTAAAATACCGATCGTGACCACTTATTCAACTTAGTACTCCAATACTGAATTATGATTGGGTAAGCTAAGTCAAATTGTCAAAGTAAGGAAAAAGCCAAGCAACTAGCACAAATCCAATACTGAATTATGATTGGCTATATATTTGCTTTTGACTTATTGGAGAAATTCAAACCGAAGGAAAAGGAATTCTCAAGGAAAAAAAACCTATTTGTGTCTTTTGATAAGTAGGCTATCTTATCTCGAAAATTTTTATTCTATTTTATTTTATTTTATTTGAAAAATGAAATAAAATAATCTGAAGTTTGATATAGGTGACAAAAAGAATTTCAATAAAATAGTCATATGTATATTTAATGTATGTATAATGTATCCTTATAAATAATGTATAACTATGTACATATGATACTCTTCCTACCGTTTGACATGACACTAAATTAAAAAAAAAAAAGTTTTTAATTTTGTGACCGAAAACTAAAAATTATGTCAAATATATGAAAATATTTTTTAATTTTATTGACTTAAACATGCCACATAGAAAGTTGAAATTAATGTATCAATTCTTCTAGAAATGAAGGGAGTATATGATTATGTATTGAAAAATGTATATACATCCATAAACACTGCATGTGTCAAGCTAAGATTAATTTCTTCAAACAATCGTCCCCAAAAATAGTTCTCACGCTTGCCCACATTTTATTCCTATCTGATTTGATTATACTTCTTCCATTCATGTTTTTCAATTCAATACTGGAGCTCCTTTTATTCATCGGAAAATTAGATAATTAAACATACTTCACTATATATATGTACTTGAATATTATGTATCTAGAACAAATTGTTTAATTAGTTGTAATGCGAAAACTAACAAAGTGAACCTCGAAAAATCATGAGTTTATAAGAAGACAAACGAGGATATATCAAAAAGTTAAAGTTTTAACGTGGTTCGGTCAATCGAGCTACGGTCACAAAAAAGATGATCAATCTACTGTATAAACATGAGAATACAAAATATATAGAGAAATAAACTCAACCAATTCACTAGGAATAGGAGGTTCACATAAGTAATAACTTTTCTTTTTTAAAAACAAGAACACAACTAATAACGTATCACTTGTGATCCACAAATTCTCCTCCTAAACAAAATTCTCAAAGCCCCTAGGACTACATTGTGAGTGTCGATTAAGTTAAAAGGAGCAAATCTCTATTCAAAAGAGTTCTAAATATTTTCCTACAAGAAAAGGACTAGCCAATCCTAAATTTTTTCCTAAAAGAAAAGTCTATTTATAGTAAGAAACTCAGAACAAATAATATCTATTACAAATTACACATAAATTTGACCCATGTATATGAAATGCATATATCTGAAAGCACCAAAATCTAATAAGATACCTAATATTATAAGCTAAAATGTATAGCTCCTAAAATAGCGGAATTTATGTAAATTAAATTCCTCTTTCTTCATAGCAATCTGTCAGTACAAAAATAAGTAAAAATAACAGACGAAAATTGGCGCAGTCCATTAATGGAAGAATATTAGTATAGTATTCTCAAGCAGAATATTGGGTATGGTATTTTAGGGTTCGTGTGGAGCTTTTCTATTGATCGATGTATTATTTTTGTTATCTATAAATTGTACGTTAGCACACTATATAAAGGATTGAATTCTGAGCAATATAAAAATTAAAACAATACATTGATATTCTTGTGCTCCAAACTTTTTAGTTATGGGTCAAGTGTGTTTGTAAAGAAAAATATATACAGATATCGAATATTTCTGTTCACTGCGAAAAAATTTATACATCAGCAAAGACGTAAGTCTTATCTAAGCACATAATGATTTTTCAATACAAACATTATATATCTAACGTGTGTACAGTTTTGGGTGGCTATATATTAATTTAACTCATTCCCATTCTACTCAATCTAACAAGAATATGACATCTTTTATCGTATTTTCATTGACAAAACATGACTGATATTTATATATCTGCTTTTAATTAAGATTATTTTATGAATTTTTTTTCACATACCTGAATTTTTAAAGTTTTTCTTCGTGTTAACTCCTAATTAATTCATTTTATGTACAAATTTTATTTTACGATCAATTTTGCTACATCATCAGCTGCTCTAGTTAATTATCAACCCTTCTAAATGTGGTAAACAAGATTTAGCCGTGTGGTCCACGAATCTGTTATATGGTCCAATAAATTCGGCCAACACTATGAAAATGACAAATAAATTGTAAATTATAAGCACTTCATTTAATTAAGTGTCACTTTTTTTTTGTGACCACTAATTCAACCAGTAATACAAGTAATTATTTGGATGAAAATAAGAAGAAAAAATAAAGATCGAATTGTTTAATACATTCGAAAGCCAGCCGGTTTAATTGCCAACACAATTGAAAGGTTGCCATCGACTTAATTTTGTCTGGTCTAAAGATATTTTTATTATTATTAATCAAAATAAATTAACTTATGTTCATTTATTGAAAATTTGACTTCAAGATATTACTAAATAAGGATACAGTAGTAACTTACGTAGTTTCTTAAGGGCATGAAATTTAAAATGACGACATATAGGAAGAGATGGAGTAAATGCAATATTATTTAAAATGACACTTATAATATTTATTAATTTATAAAAATAAGATAGAATTAATTAGTTTTTTCATTTCAATTTATGTGACTTGATATAGAATTTAAGAAAAAATGAAATTTGAGATTTATACTTTAAATCAAGTCATATATGTGTGTTGGACTATGAATCATCTCATTTAAAGATAAAATGAGCATCTTAAAATTAAATTATCATAAGAAATAAAAAAATATTATTTTTTTAATTGAACAAACTAAAAGACATGTGTCACGTAAATTAAACAGGAGTAACTTTTACTTTGATTTTCCCTAAAATTAATTGTCATTGAGATTTTTTTTAATAGTTTCTTAAAGATCCTATAGTTGGCTTTCGAGGTGCAAAATTAATTAACTCAATCCATTTGAACTCGTCTAAATTCAATCCAATATAGTTAGCTTTCGAGGTGCAAAATTAATTAACTCAATCCATTTGAACTCGTGTAAATTCAATCAAACACACCTATTTAACGCCTCTAAAATTATATTCATGGACAAAATTTAACTCGACTATTTTGTATTTTGGATTGGGCTTGTTATACCTGTTATAGCCTTTCAAAAATTATTTTGGTTGGAGCTAGATTGGATTGGACACACAAAAATCCATAGCCCACATGAGTTTTCTTGGGCCAGTCCATTCTAACACATCTCTAGTCCAATTGACTTACATTAACTCCACTAAATATGGGCTGTTCAAATCGAAATCGATAACACGATCAAAAAAAATATTATTGTATTCATTGAAGAAAAAGTTATATATGAAATCTTAAAAGTTTTGAATTGTAGATGGTACTTTTATATGAACTTACTTTTGGCTTGTAATCAATTATAAAGGTCACATTTTACTGGAATTGTTCAAGAAAGAGAAGTACTTGTTCAGAATCAAACAATATAGTAAAAATGAAGTAAATAAGCAATGATAATTTAATAGTAAGCGCCTTCATATCTAATCTTTAGTTAAGAGGGGATTTAATTTCTCTATTTCACACCTTGAGTTTTTGTTCATATAGATGATCCATAGCTAACAGATACATCTTGTTGGATAATGATAGTGTCTGAGCCTGCTTCCATACAGCTCGACTATTTCAGAGGTCCCACTTCCCCCACCAACTTCTGGTTTGAGTCTGAACTCGCTTCCACACAACTCGACTATTTCAGAGGGCCACTATCCTCATCAACACATTTACCAGGTAACTCTTTCCACCGAGTACAACTATGCACTTCAATAAATCTTTTCGTAGGTCTCACTATCCCCACCAACTTTTTGTTTGATGACGATAGTTTCTAAACTAGTTTTCACACAACTCGACTATTTCACTGGGCTCATTATCCCATCAACACATTAACCAGGTAACTCTTTCCACCAAATACAACTACATGTGAACTTCAATAAATCATTTAGTGTGTCGCATAACATCTTTTCAGCTTGCACACAACTCAATTATTTCACGAGGCCCACTATTCCACATTCACCAAGTAACTCTTTCCACTAGGTTCAACTATGAACTTCAATAAATCTTTTAGTGTTGCACAACATCTTTTCAGCTTGCGCACAAATCAACTGCTTCATTTATGGCAAATATTGCAAGAAGATAGCATCTTTTCTACTACCACTTTCTCAAGTATCTTAAATGCAGACCATCCACAGTTTACCCAATTTAATGCTAGAGTTTCCTTTCCATGATCCTAGCATTCAATTTCCTAAACACTAATGGGGTTTCTGCAAAACTCAAATTGCAGATGAAAGCTAAATCTCCACTTAAAATGTATCCAACAAGCATGTCACTGACTATTCCAAGAGTTCTCAACATCACAATTTCAACCATGCTAAAATTCAGCATAGTACAACGCTAAAACTCGGTCCAATGTCGTTGGCCTCTCTAATATCATTTGACCTGCTCTCTCATACCTTCTATTCGCACAGTAGCTGGTGCGTGGCTCGAACTGCATGCATGACATGGTATTGGCTGCATCAGTTTACTGTTGCTCAGTTCCTTCAGGAGTCATACCTACAAGGAAAGACAGAAAAAACCAGTATCTTTAAGTCGTCCTTCGCTTTCTCCACATGAACTTATCAACAACCCAGTACTGAGCTTCTTCTATAGCGGAATATATTAAGATGGGATCCCGACATTCAGCTCCAAGAAGACTCCATAGCACCTTATCAACATCTAAAGCTCAGACAGGATCACCCTCTTTACTATCTTCAATGTGTACTAGTCATACTCTTTGACAAGTTGATACTATTACTAAGCTACCAAATACTTGCACACAACTTCATTTAATAATCGATTTATCCACAGAACTACATTTTCACATCTCCACAATCTTTAATGTGCGATGCCAGATTAGGAAAACAGGCAGAGAACGAACAAACCCTCTGTCTTTCAATTCAAGCTGGAAATATGGACTAACACTATCTCGATAGTCACAGTTGTGACAATCTAAACCAACAATTAAAAGAATACCAAGCAGGAGAAGGAAATTTTTCGACTCAAAGTCAACAACTTAAATACTTCAAAACAAGAGTGCCTACAAAGGTATGAGTATTGCCAACTAAGCAGTTAACACCTAAATAGTCTTATTAAGATCGACCCAACAAATAGAACTATAACTAACCAACCAAACTAGAGAACATTTTCATATATTAACAGGAAACATATCATGTGAATGCACCCTTCTAAACTGCATGGATTGGATTGTGGCTAGAGTTCATGCCTGAGCTACCAGATGACGGATTAGCATGGAAAGCTGACTGCCTGGAGGAGCCCTCGACCAGCTTTAGTGACAGAGAAGGTGGCTTGGCAGCATCACCAATGGACTCACCTAAGCTTAGCTTTGACATACCAACCAGCTCATCAACATTAATTGGACTCTTTGAATGAACAGCTGTTGGCTTCAGAACTTCATGGGTCTCTGCTATTGCTGGCTCTGCAGTGTAACCTGGCCAGCATGGATAAGGCATCGGGTAAAATGGAGCAACATAAGCAGGATAAACAAGTGGATGCTGATATTGTGAGCTTTCTGGTATAGAAAGAGCATGTTCCCCATCGATGGAGTTGGCAGAAGCTGCTGAACCCATTGATTCACATTCTTCATCCACAGCAGGAGTAGGAGGCAACGGATTGTTGCTTTGCATCTCAGCTTGTGCAGGATCATCTGCGAGGAAATCCCTCGATACCATTGGAGTGTCCCCTGACTATGGTATTACCAAAAAGACAAAATAAATAAACATTACAAGAAAATTCACTGGAAACATATTCAATCCAAAAGTATGAGGGTGTAGCATATAGGCATGTGCATCTTTGACATAGCAGATGATAGCAATATGGAAGAGAACTAAACATTTAGTTAATAATGTTTGTAAAATAACTATTGTAATAGAGAATCATCAAGATAAGAACAAAAGACAACGCCTTTTATGAAAAATAACAAGTTCGCAACTTCACGGTGCCAATTAGGTCTATAGAACTTAAGGGAACATTATAATCGTCTATAAGTGAGAATTTACTTACTTCATCAGCAACAATATCAAACAGACTGGAGCGTCTTTTTCTCCTTGACATATTACTTTGCCTAATGAAATATTTCTGGGCGTGGCTTGCAACCTGGGTGGGCGTTCTAGAGATCACATAGTTACGAGCAATTCCACGCCAATCACCTTTACCGAGTTTTTGCAAACCAAGTAGAAACATCCTATGCTCCTCCTCAGTCCAGGGAACCCCTGCAATTATGTTTTAAAGTTATTTTAAGATCCACTATCACCAGTTTCAAAAACAAAAATAAAGCAGTAATTTCATGAACCAACATAGCAAGAAAACCAATTGCAACATAAATCCGTCAGAAGCAATATGAGCAATTATATCAGCTTCAGCATTACTGAAAAAACATAACCACCATAAAGGAGGAAAATTCTAATAATTTGAAAATCAAAATTTTTCGAAATGGGAAGTGCTTCTCCAAAGGATGAAGATTAGCAAATCTAGAAAGTTATATACAACAAAGAAAGAAAATACAGATCAATTTCATCCAATCACTCACTCTCACTAGAAATGAGAAAAGATTGATAAACTGCATAAATCTCCACCCATTTCACATTGTAAAAATGATCAGAAGAGAGAAAAAATTGCAGGGAGCTCAAGCATTACGCCGACAAAATTCTCAGCGTTCATTAAACAGAACAGGTCAAATGGATGTCTAACAAGTCATTCAAACAACACCGGATGATAGTAAATTAGAATTTTTCAAGCAACTCATATAAAGCCTTATACCAATCATTTCTTATGATATGTCTGATCACCGAGCCAAAGAGGAATGTGACCGAGTAAAATAACATGATTCTCAAACTCATAATCACGTTCCATCAACAGATGTGATTAGATGAGTTAACTAAAAAATACAAAAACAGTGAACTTAGAAAAAACCCAATTCAATAAACTGGCAAGGTTTTGCAATAAGAAACAAAAAGAATAATAACCACATTCCTTGATTGAATTATTAGTTGACAACAAATTGGATTGAGCAAAAAGGTCCACTTTTGCCAAACAGAAAGCTCCCAAAATCTTTTGTTTTCTTCAATACATACAAAATTACAGATTAAACTCATCAACTTGAAAAAACATGTTCACAACATATCTCTTTACATTAATCTACAACAACAGCAGCAGCAGCAAACACCAAAACTCTAAAAATTAAAACCTTAACCACAATTCATAAAAAAAAATCAGCTTTATAAACATTTAACACAATCAAGAACCACAAAAATGCAATTTTTACAAACACCCAAATCATAAGAACTTATCAAAACTCAAAAAAGATCAAACCTTTCTTCCTTTCACGGCTAGATGAAGAACCAGCAACAAAATCCTCTGAAGCATAACCATCAACAGAGCCACCAGCAGCAGCAGGATGATCAGGTGTATCACCAGGTGAGTCATGAACGACACCGTTTAGAGGTGTACTACCACCTCCACTTCCACTGGCAAAATGGGACAAATTACCCATACTAGCACTTTTTCGAATCAACCCATCAGTCAATCGGACCCCAAACAACTTCACACCTCTATTAGGACAAGTCCTTGAGTTATGGCCATTGGTACTGCAATGTGAACATCGACGGGTCATGGCTGAAAAACCCGAATTCCAATCAAAACCCAATTCAATCAAATCCCCAAATCAAGATCCAAATCCAAATGGGTCTTTTTTACATGATCCAAGAAAAACAACAAGAACAAGAACTGATTCTGGGGTTCTGATTTTTTGGGGATATTAAGGTCCTATATGATTAAAGTTTTTTTTTTTTTGCTACAATCGAAACTATAGAGATATAGATATATAGTGAGAGAAAGTTGAAATTTTTGAGGAAGAAAAAGAAAATGCTTACAAAGAGAGAGAAAGGAGGAAGGACAGGACAATATAAAATGAGGAACAAAAAATATAAATTTAGGTTTAAGGTAGAGATAAGGTGGCAATTTGGTAATTATGTGAGGGTAGGTGGCTTCATTTTTGGGTAATATAGGAATTATATATTTTTGTAGATTTAGATAATGTAGTTTATTAATTTATATTCCATCTAGTGGAGACACATGTTTGTGAAAAATCTACCCTTTTTTTTATTAAAAAAAAAACAAACAAATCTAGTCATTTTGATTTATTTTTATCATACTTCTAAATAAAGTCTTCTATACAGTTATTTTTATTCTTTTTCTAAATAAAGTCTTCTATTAAGTTGTTTTTATTTTATTATATTTCTAAATAAAGTCTTCTATTAAGTTATTTTCATTATTAAAAAAATCTTCTATTAAGTTATTTACTATTAGGTTGTTTTTATTTTATTATAGTTCTAAATAATGTCTTCTATTAAGTTATTTTCATTATATGTCTAAATAAAGTCTTCTATCAAGTTTTTTCAAGTAATTAAACTTTTTACTTATTCAAACATATGATATATGATTTGATTTTGTGGTCAATTGGATATTGAGTTATTCTAAGGAATTCTTTAATGATGTGTGGTTACAAACCAAATCTTTTTGGTAAGATTATTTAAATAATTATGTTTATTCATTAATTGTATGATTAGTTTTAAAAGGCATTTTCACATATTGGTCAAGCCATTTGAAAAAAAGGAAACTATATATGGTAAAGCACAAATGTTTTTCCAAAAAAAGAGACCTTTTTCTTTTTGAAATTATTTATAGTGTTTGACTTGAATTGCTAAAATGTATTCTACATTGCTATATTTTACCCAATTAAAAAAAGAAGTAATTTGGTTAAGAGCCCGTATGATTGGCTTAAAAGTCGATCAAATTTATTTTTTAATCAGTTTTTAATTTTTGAAAATATTTGATAAATATAAAAATAATTTAAAATAAGTTTAAAATGACTTAAAATAAGTTACGAAGTTTTTGACAAGATAAAATGACTTGCAATAAGTAGAAACCAAAAGTATGTATTTCCCTATTTTTTAATTTTTGACTCAAAAGTTATTTCAGTTTGACTTTTTATTTTTGATTTATAAGCTAATTTTTTAAGTTAATTCAAAGGGCTCTAATTTATTACGCGTTGATAATTTTCCTGATCAATACATATTTCAAAACATACTTTCAACACATCTGTAAGGGTGATTGAGTAGCTGATATATTAAATAAAAACTTATAAGTTCGAAATTTCGTATTAGCTTTATTTTTTTGATTAAATTGATCACACAAATCCTTTTTTAATACGATTTACATATAAAACACATTTCCACTCAATCAAACATTACAAAATTTAAGTAAATAATTTTACGAATTTACGATCTTAATTTTACTAGCATCTAAATTACCTTGGTACCCTCAAAATTTCTAAAGCTAGACCGACAAATATTCTTTTTTAAAAAATTAATTAGATATCATTATGAAATTGATTTCCTTCGAATAATTATAAGTTTTGATATTATAAGTGCCGTATTTGAACGAAACATTCTTTCTTTCGCAACACAAATACATGTCCTAGCTAGCAAGAAAAACAAGTCAAATTTTAATATTAATATTTACTACCCTAATTAGTAATCCACAAGACTAATATTGCAAAAACGTGTGGAATATTTTAGTGTTTTGAGGTTTGTTTGATATGAAATGAAGAAAACATTTTTCAACCTCGAAAACAAATAATTAAGTACTTATTTTTTACATTTTGAAAATAAGTAGAATAATATTATTTTGACCATAGTCTAGGCTAGGTGGGTGGAGAGTTAGAATTTTATTTTTTTTTACTAGATTTATATTTTACGACTTATAAGTAAGATTTAATTTATATTTAATAACTTACGTCTATTATTTAAAATTTAAAAATAAGTATTTAATAACACTTTCCAAAAGTTTTCAAATATTATAACAAGCTATTTTAACTTAAATCATTTAAAATAGATCAATTTAAACAGATCCTCAAAATGATGACATGAAACACTCAGTATAAAATATCACGTATGTAATTTATTTTCATTGGAGTTTATTGTTAAAAACATGATAAATTGAAAAATATTCTCTTTCATTACAAAACATTCTCTTAATTTTTTTATATATATATTTTTTAAACATTTATGTCAAAGACATTTAGAATACTAGTAGGTCAAACACGTCTTAAAAGTATACTACGTAGTAGATGGAGAAGAATTGATCAAAGTAATGACAACCAAAGTTTTTGGAAATTACGTTAAGAGACTTTAGTCCAAAGGAAACTTTGTTTGCTTTTACTACTTAGGCTAAAAGACAAAAATAAAATAAAATATATCCTTATCTAACTCTTTATGTAATTAATGAGATGTGGAATTTATTGTGCATGTATATTAAATAATACAATAATAATAATAATAATAATAATAATAGTAATAATAATGAGAGAAGAACAAGGATGTCCCTCAATAATAGAGGGACAATTCTGATTTGTTTTGAGTGATTGAAACCAAAAATAAATAATTTGGTTGTTGGTACTTCCAACAATATAGTGAATCACGTGATTTTTAATAGGGTTTTGAATAATTTAATTGCTTTTTTAAGACATTGACAGTTGAAAATTACTTGCTACTCAATTAATTCAAGAACATGTTAGATGACGAAATATATTTTTTAATCTTTAATCAATTGAAAATATTTAATGTAAAGAGTGTGTTGGATATGAAATATCAATAGTGTGGAGTACTAGCTCAATAAGCTTAGATAGTAAATGAAATTATTTTTTTTTTAATTAGAAATTTCGAATTAAAATTTTAAATGTAAAAAACTTTAGTAGAGAATGTTCCTCTTGATAGGGACCTACACGGCACAATTTCTGAATGATCGGAGTTTAATGAAAATACGAATGGAAAAAGGAAAAGTATAACATATGGATAAGTAATAATTAAGTGAGGATTAATTGATTTTATTACTAATGTCTTGGTTAAACTTTTAAAATTTAATATATTTAAAAAATGTTTTTGTAAAAAAAGTAATTTCTTTTAGAAGTGATTTGTATTTTATCCATGTAATTTAAAAAAACATTTATGTTCTTTAATTATATATTTGGCCAAACCTATATTAAGGTGTTTTTAAGTGTGTTTTTCTCAATAATAGTTTTGGAGAAAAAAATATTATTTTAATCTTTTGAAAAAAACAATTTCAATTACTCCCTATTAATATTTATTTTCTCCCGATAGCTTGCCAAACTCCTCATTTCTTTCAAATAATATGATTTTTTTGAAAATAAATAAATAAATACTCTTGGTCTATCAAAAAAATGCGAAAACCTTTTTTAAAAAAATAAATATATAAGTATTTTGACATTTTATCAAATGAATAAGTGATCACAAGTTAATTCACCGAACCAATAAAGAGATAATTCATGCCTATATTAATTATGTAAAAAATTATTACGTTTTCATCGAAAATATTTCATTTTCAAAATTACCCACCATAGTTATCAAGGATAACATGAAAAGTGAAGTCTCTTTATCATTAATAAATAAAGTAAATTCTTACCTAATGATATTAAAAAAGATAAATTTATGCATTGTCGGTGCTCAGAATTCATCATTAAAAAAAGTAAAAAAAAATAAAATTATTTTGACTTATCCATATAAGACTCCAAAAAAAATGGAATGTTTTAATGGAAATCTTTTTTCTAGCGGAATTAAAGATTCTATGTTTTATCATTTAGGTTCAGTCAGATAATTAGGCACGTAACTATAATTGCGGTATGCTTTTGTATGGTATAAAATAAAAAGACTAAAAAGGAAGGGATAAAGAAATATAAAGTTCTAATTTCTTAAAGAAAAGATATTTATGTGGTTTGAAATTTCTCTTCGTTTATTATTATTCGTCATATTTTTTATTTTCAGAGGAAGGGACAAAGAAATATAAAGTTCTAATTTCATAAAGAAAAGATATTCATGTGATTCAAAACTCTCTCCGTTTACTATTATTCGTCATATTTTTTTATTTTTAGAGTTAAATTATAAGAATTTTAATTAACATTTAAAAATATATTTTTTGATCATTGATATGCAAAAAATTATAATTTATAATTTTTAATATATAATTTTTTATTTAAAATATCAAATTAATATAATCTAATTTAACTTTGAAAATTTATCAAATTGACTTTCGTAAAAACGTAACACAACAAATAAAAATAAACGAAGAAAGTACACTTTAATATAAAAATGAAAAAAAAGATTATCATGTCGTTTTGGGGCTATCTTTTCCTCTTCCTAAATTACGTTTGGTTAGTATTCAAAGAATAAAAGTTTTATGAGTATACACTATAGAAGAGGAAATATCTTTCCAAATTCAAAATTTGAAGTTTCATAAAATTTTTATATCAAATATGAATTATCATAATAAAGTAAATTTACAAATAAATATTAATTGATAAAAATAATTATTTTTTAGCCCCCCTCAATCATTATTAAATTTTAATTACTTTGATATTTAATTAAATGATTTTTCTTTAACTATTTGAAATGTTGCAATTTTGATCCCTTTTTATGTAGGAACCAGAATGTAACATATAAATTTGTCTTTAGAAGCACATCGCACTCATATGCATACGTAACAACACAAAATTAACACAATGCATGTGTAATTAAATAGTTAAGCGATAAGTATTTTAGAAAATTTTAAATTTTTACAAAAAAAATCAAAACTATATATTTCAAATAAATAAAAAACAAATTTTAGCTAATTAAATATTATAAAAATTAAAAATTATCAATAATTAAAAGATCACTCAAAGTGCTATCAACTTTTTTAGAGTCATCTACAATAACTATTAAGTTTACATTAATCAATAACTAACCATCTAAATTCGCCTGAACTTCTAATCTCGAATAACAATATATCTATTTTATAATTTAAATCACAACTTATTTCGATCTAAACTTTACTTTCATAAATTACAATCACT